GTGCGTGCGCATTATATATTTTGCAAAACAAAATCACATTATATATATTGTAGTATATATTTAATTTCTTTTGGGCTAAATTCCAACGCGATCACTTAATAGTAAATTAGAGGTCGGTGCTTAATTAAGCCAAACAGGTCTATGTGGACATATGTGTGTAAGCTAAGGGTGTGAACCGGTCAAAAGCCCGATCGGATCAGACCCGGCTAGAATCGGAATCACTATATTTTACATACATATCAGAAACTAGATTTGAAGTAATTAATCAGTACACCGGTCAAAGATTAGCATACACTATTGACTCTGACACCTACACGTACTTTTGAGCATCAACTCTGAGTCACTATCTTTTTTAGCTTAGGGCATCCATATTCATAGATTGTTTTTTAGATCATTTTGATGATGTGGATGATTTTTTTTGGGATCATGGATGAGGAGTTAAGATTCTTTTATGAGATTATTTGATAAAATAATCTGGTATCAAATTCTAAAGCTGGATTATTTTGAGATTATTTCCAACTTCTAGGCATATACTCATAATTATAGTGATGACTAGCTTTGTAGTTCGTGGATGCTCATGCTCCTATCCAAGGCAAATTAAGATCATGAATGAGGAGAATTTTATTGGTTTGGAGATTATTTGAGATTATCTTATGTGGAGGTGACATGAAAAATAATTTATTCTGGTAATGTTTTATCTTATTTAACTTTATAACCATATTTAATATTCTCTCACATTTAACTCCATTAACTAATTTTATAAAACTCTATTAGAATTTTTAATTTTTTTAATTTAATCATTTTCTATCCAAATGCAGTATTTCGTTGATTAGCCATTTGCACTCAAACATTTAATAGTTGCACTTTTAGTTGGAACTATATGTACTTTATATAATCTGCACTTTACTCTCCGAAATTGTGCATCCATATATTTTTGAATAAAAATAAAAATAAAATATGCACAAGTGTAAACTAACAACTATCATACGATTTTTTAAATTACAAATTGCATCCACTTATAATTTCTATGTGCACGTACTTTAACGCAGAATAGTTGCACTTTTATTTAAAACATTATGCAACATCGATTTATTTAAATATTTTGAAATATTCATTCTCAAGAGAGATGATGTGTGATAGAGCATTAATTCTAGAGAGAAGTGAGAGCTAGAGAGAGAAAGTGAGTAATTATATTTCTCAACCCCCTATAACTAGCCCCAAGGGGTCTATTTATAGGAAAAAATGTGGATTTGGGCTCCTAGCCATGGGCTTAGGAGGCCCATTACAATAATCATGCCTTCTTTGGGCGAAATAGGGCCACTAATGGGCTATGTACAACACTTAGTAAATAACGTAGAGAGAAGCATTCTGCCCGTACGCAGCCGAGCCGATGCGGTGCCTTTTGGCCGATGCGGTCCCATGGCCGATGCGGTCCATGGGCCGATGCGGTCCCGGGAGTCCATGCGTGCCTCCTGGGCCGGTTTGGTTTCTGGCCGATGCGGACCACTGGCCGAAGGGGCCACGTGGGTGTTCTTCTGGCCATCGTTGACTTGAGTGTGTGGGCCATGGGGTCCAGGCCCATATACTCTATCAGGAGTCCCCCACTCTCTGAGCTGAGGCGAAGCCGAAGCGAAAGGGAGTATCTGTTCCTTCCCGGCTGGCCGTCGTGAGAGCTTGGGGCGCTTGGTGGCCGAAGAGTATCTGCCTTGATTTTGGATGAAGCGGCTTCTTCATTTGATGTAGACGTAGCGCGCTTGAGGATCCGCAGCCTTGGTGCGGCCGATGCGCTCTCTGTGAAGTGTCTTGAGGATGATGCGCTTTCTTTTTTGTAGATGTGATGAATTCTGGTGTGGATAAGTTGGCATGTTTTCGCCGTCATCTTGTTGGGGCCGAAGAGCTCGCCATCTATTCTTTTGGCCGTAGCGATGACATATTTTCATGAGATGGAGATGGTTGATTCCATTTACGTAGACGATGCGATGCACGCCTTTGATTTGTCATGTAACCGAAGCGTTTGATTTGTGGGTTCTTTGCTCTGGTGAGCCGATGCGGTCCTTAGTGCTTTTTGTAATTGGCGGGCCGTAGCGCACCCTTTTGCATTAAGGCCGTTGCGCTCCCTTTTTGTTTCCTTTCTTGTGGCCGATACAGTCCCCCAGTCCCCCACTCCTTTGGCCGAAGAGTATTTGAGGCACAAGGGAGTTATGATGTTCTCGAGCCGATACGGTACCTCATGCGTTAGTCGTGAGTCCAACCCTTAGGCGAACCTGTCCAAGGTAACCCTGTGGGAGAACCCTTGGACGAAGGCCGCGATACCAGGGTCATCATCAAACGATGTGCGCGTGAATAGCCGTAGCGGTACTTGTGTTTCTTGGGGTTGCTTTGGGGCCGTAGCGCGTTTCGCTGATGCGTCCACGCCTTTGGTGATATTGGGCCGTAACGGGTTTATCCTTGTTTTTGAGTGAGTAGGCCGGTGCCTACCCTAGCCTTGAGGCCTGTTGGGCCGTAGCGGTGGCCCTAGAGTGGAATGTGAAAGGACAGGCGCTGATTGGTCCTAGAAGAGGTGCCGTTGAGGTGGCCAGTTGGAGATCGCCACGTGTAGTGACCGTTGGAGGGGTGCTTATAAATACCCCTAAACTCCGAGGCGGTACCTCATTTGTGCTTTTGCTGTTTGTCGAATTGCTGCCCAATTTTCTAGAGAGAGAAAGCTCCCGAGGTTTCTTCAAGTGTTCATCAACCTCCCTTCGGATCTTCAAATCCTCAAGGTCAGATTCTTGTCTGTTCTTCTTTATTTTCTTATACTTTGCTTCCTAGGGGGTTAGATCTAGTGTTTGTAGGGAAATCACTTTGATCCGAAAAACCGCCCTTAGGAATAGGTGTAGGTGTTATGCCGTTCTCTAACGGCCGTAGCGTTCCCTCCCCCATTGATTTGACAGCTTCTTTGGACGAGTCGGATTGGCCCTTTGACGAGGACGATACGTCCCCTGGAGTTGATCTGCGGTTGATAGAGGCCTTCGAGGTCGAAATGGAAAACACAGCCGACTATCGTACTTCCGTAGATGAGGAGAGAATGAGTGCCGATGCGGGAGCGCATCTTTCTGGTGAGGACGAGGCGATATCTAGCTCGCCTCTGAGAGGGGATGAGGCATCCTCTTCTGCCAACATTCCTTGCCCTCCGCCGATATCGTCCGTAGCGGGGGAAGGCCCCTCAGCTTCCAAGACGAAAAGACCGTATCGGCGGAAGCAGCGCAATAAGGCACCGAAGGGGCATTCGCAACTTGACCTCAGCAATTTGTACATCATCAGGCCGGAAGGGACCCTCGGTGAGTATCACGTAGCTCAGTTGTACGTGGGGCCGTATGGACGGGTCCGGGCGCCGAAGCCGACGGATCACGTGCTGAGCCCCCCCTTGGGTTATTTCGGGATATACCCGATGAGTTTCGCGAAGGGGTTGCGGTTCCCTCTCCATCCTTTTATTAAGGAATACCTTGACATGGTGGGTCTGCCTCCGGCCTTGCTGACGCCCAATAGTTACTCGCTCATCGTCGGCTTCCTTATCCGTTGCGGTGAGCTGGGGTTTTCGCCGACGATTGCGCTTTTCACCAATCTGTACCGGATAGGCCGAGGGAGCCATCAGAATTGTGCCGGCTATGCCGCTTTACAGCAGGTCCCCAAGAGGAGGACGTTTACAGACCTTCCTTCATCAATTCATGGCTGGAAGGCGAAGTTTGTCTTTGTTAACCTTGGCCGAGGCGGTTACTTCCCGTCTGCCGGTCACAGCGGTTTATTTGAGTTGCATAATCCTCCGTGGAATGCCGAGATCAGTAGGCAGGTGGAGGCTTTTATCAAGGGCGGTCCGAGGAGCGTAACGACCTACATCACTGAGTATAGGATGGCCGCCCTCGGCTTCGTAAGATATTACTGCCCCGGCGATGTGGACGACGACCTCTGGCCGAGGATGGAGGGGTCTTATGAGCAAGCCGACGGTCCCTCACTTGGTGTCCCTGCCGAAGCCGAAGGTTGTCCTTCGTCTGCTTTCCCTTCTTGTAATGTGTTTGGTTATTGCCTTACTGATTTTGCTCTTCTGTGCAGGTTTTGTCATGGACCGCATATCTTTTATGGCTCGAGCTGCCAAGAAGGCCGATGCGGAGCTCAAGGCCGCTCGGGCTGCCGAGAAGGCAAAGGCCTCTGCTGGCGGTTCCCAGGGAGGGGGTGAGGCCGTCAAGAAAGCTGCTCCTAAGAAGAAAAGAGGAGCTGATGAAGGTCAGAAAACTCTGGCCGAGGCGGGTCTGAAACCACAGGCCCCAAAGAAGACGAAGAGGGTTCCAACGACTGATGAGGCCGGCGCTCCTTCTTCTCAGGCTGTCGTGGATGTCCAGCCCCCGGTGGTCCCTCCTGTGAATGAGCCACCCTCCTCGGCCGTGGTGGCTTCGGCTTCTCGCGTGCTTCCTTCTACGGCTGCTGCTGCCCGTCTAGAGGAGGCCCTTGCCAAAGGGACGTACGAGGTAACAGTGCGTTACCCTGTGAAGGGCGGTCTTTTTAACGAGACCGTCGGTGGCGACGACGTGCTTGCTCAGGCTATGCCTGAGTATGATCGTCAGTACCTCGGCCGACAAGGCCAACATGTTCGGCTGTACGACGGAGGGATAGACTACGTCGTCCAGGTAAGACATTTTCCTCCATAACTTTTCCTTTGCTTTTGTTTTTTTTTCATCTCTAACTTCGTCTTGCTCCGTCCAGGGTGCCCTTATGCTGAGGGAGCAGCATTGGAGGCAGGAAGCCGAGATAGAGCGGCTGAAGAAGATGGAGGCCAAAGCTGCTTCAGCCGATGAGGCCCTTCAAGATCTGAGGGACAAGGCCAAGGCTGCGGAGGATGAAATGAAGCTCCTTCAGATGCGCCTTGATGAGGCCGAGGCTGCCCGGAAGAAAGCTGATGAGGCCGTTGCCGCTGCCGTCCAAAGAGCCGAGGAAGCGGAGCGGCTCAAGGCTGACGCTGAGAAGGC